GGAGGTTGCAGTGAGCCAAGATCGTGCCATTGTACTCCAGCCTGGGCAACAAGAGTAAAACTCCGTCTCAGAAAAAGGAAAAAAAGAAAAGAAAAGAAAAGAAAAGCACATTTCTAAGGGAGATCTTAGCTTTATTGTTAACCTTACATTACAAGATTTAGGGAGTACTTTCCATTGCTTTGAAAACTTGAGAACAAGTTTCAACTTACTACCTAAACAAATGGATCTTCTAAGTATTTGTATAAATCTCATGCTTCGTAAAAACTTATACTCCATTACCACTGGCTCACATTTTGTCTATAATTTCACAAATATCATATCACCATTTTTAACAGCAAGCAAATAAAAAACAAGAATGGCCAAAATAAATAAGGAAGAATACAAATGCTGCCAAGTATACCTTCCAATATCCCCTGTTGTAAGAATCAAGGTATCCTTCAGCTCATAATTTCTTGATATTTGGGCATGTGTATATGCTTCCTTCATTCTTAAGACAAAAAGCTAGAACAACAAAATTAACTGGTTAAAGAAATTTTTAGAGCTAGGCTGATGTAATCTAACTGTTAAGAACAAAAATTATCAACCTCCTTTATAAATCCATCTTCAGAGTCCAAGGATTCCAATATATGCTTGATATTTCCACTAAAAGCCACTCTAACATCTTTGTCTGGATCTTCCATTAAATTTAATAAAGTTCCAAGAACTGCTTTTACATCTGTTTCATCTTCTCTAAAATCAAGATGCTTACAAAGATGATGCAGATTATCTATGAAAGCTGAAGGACAAGAGTATACAATACCTAATTTAACATTAAATGTCAAGGTTGTACTGTAAAAATATTGCCAACAAATAATATGCCACAAAGAATCCTAAGTTCTCTTATAATGTTAATGTTTCATGTTTAAGTATGTATAGCACACAAAATCTTAGGAAATTAAAATGGATACTTAGAAATCAAAATTTACTTTATATTTAATAAATGTCACATAGGAGAGAAGGTCTTGCTCTGTCACCCAGGCTAGAGTGCAGTGGCACGATCACAGCTCACTGCAGCATGCAGCCCTGACCTCCCTGGTTCAAGGGATCCTCCCACTTCAGCCTCCCAAGTAGCTGGGACCACAGGTATGCACCACCACGCCTGGCTAATTTTTGTATTTTTTGTAGAGATAGGGCTTCATCATGTTGCCCAGACTGGTCTCGAACACCTGAGCTCAGGCAATCCACCTGTTTTGGCTCTCCCGAAGTGCTGGGGTTAAAGGAGTGAACCACTGCACTTAGCCTGTAAATAATTTAAATCTAAAATAATTTCCAGAATTGTTACAAAATAACAAGTCTCTTTCAGATTTTGTAGACCATTATATGTTACCAAGATAGGCTTAAAAACACATTGCAGGCCAGGAGTGATGGCTCATACCTGTAATCCCAACACTTTGGGAGGCCAAGGTGGGAGGATCACTTGAATCTAGGAGTTCAAAACTAGCCTGGGCAACAAAGTGAGATCCCTCTCTACAAAAAATTTTAAAATCAGCTGGGTGTAGTGGCACACACTATGCTCCCAGCTACTCAAGAGGCTGAGGTGGGAGGATCACTTGAGCCTGGGAGGTCAAGGCTGCAGGCTGCAGTGAGCCGTGACCATGCCACTGCACTCCAGCCTGGGTGACAGAGCAAGACCCTGTCTCTTAAAAAAAAAAAAAAAAAGATAGAAAGGCCAGGCATGGTGGCTCATGCCTGTAATCCCAGTACTTTGGGAGGCCAGGGCAGGTGGATCACCTGAGGTAAGGAGTTGGAGACCAGCCTGACCAACATGGTGAAACCCCATCTCTACTAAAAATGCAAAAATTTGCCCGGCATCGTGGTACGCGCCTGTAATCCCAGCTACTCCGGAGGCTGAGGCAAGAGAATTGCCTGAACCCAGGAGGTGGAGGTTGCAGTGAGCCAAGATCGTGCCATTGTACTCCAGCCTGGGCAACAAGAGTAAAACTCCGTCTCAGAAAAAGGAAAAAAAGAAAAGAAAAGAAAAGAAAAGCACATTTCTAAGGGAGATCTTAGCTTTATTGTTAACCTTACATTACAAGATTTAGGGAGTACTTTCCATTGCTTTGAAAACTTGAGAACAAGTTTCAACTTACTACCTAAACAAATGGATCTTCTAAGTATTTGTATAAATCTCATGCTTCGTAAAAACTTATACTCCATTACCACTGGAAAGCGGCCAAGAAGATACACTCTATAGTCCTCAGCTGGGCAAAGTAATCTATTTGAAGTTCTCAAAGTCCAATGTGTCCAACAGGGGACACATTAAGAAGGTCTCTGGTATCACTAAAGAAGATATAGAATATTGAATCTTACAATATTGAAACGACCATAGGTATGCCCCATTTAGGCTGTCAAATCACAAAAGTATTCGAAGAAATCCCAAAATCACCTCTCCTATAGGTTCTGTGATGCGATCTAATACCAGTTATCTCATTTATAACTAATCAATACTGAGCGCTGAATCTATAAAGCAAGTAACTTTCTGTAATTTTTCAAGGCTTCAGCCTAATTCTTTTACTGATTTGAAAAGCAGAGTTTAAATAGGTTTTAAAATATTAAATAAGTCATAATCACTCACCAAGTTTTACTGCACTAGATGTTTTCTTTTTCAGTAGGAAAAGGAATGGCTTGCAAACAGACGCTTTTAGTTGAGAAGATGAACATTCATGTTGAGAAGTGGCTTTCAAGTTCCTACAGAAGAGGTCCACATGTTCATGTTCAGAGAAAGGTTCTGTTAAAGAGCTTGTCAGATAAAACATGCCATGAAGAGTACAGACAAGTTGACCAAGTATAGAAGCAAATTCTTTCTTGATAATGTCAGAATCATCTTTGACTTTATCTCTGGGGAAAAAAAAAGAAAAAGTACTAAACTTTCTTGCCTAATTTTGTGGTCTAAATAATCTTGCTTAATTTGGTACAAAAGTACTGGTAAAACAAAGTCTAGAAGAAAAAAATGTTAAATTCTAAAACTAAAAGCAACATTTGCTTTACATATTCAACAATAAACATAACCCTGCATATATAGCCAGAGAATTATGATCTTTCCAATAGAGTGATATATTCAAATTAAAATCTTAGTACATACATTAGAATCTTGGGAACTCTGTTACAAGAATTCTGCTGCTGCAATAAGATAAAAAATCCACTAACACAACTAGCCCGGATTACTTCATGGGAGCTCTGCAGGGCCCAGTTGTAAACTGCTGTTCTCCATTCAAGGAATATTCTTCTTGGAAACAGAGTCAGAAGAAACACACATCGTGACTGTGCCTGTGGTGCTGAAAAAATTAAGTCTGTTAAACATGATTTCTACTAATGTTAATTTTATGTATACACATATACATATGTAAGTAACATTTGTGTATATATAAAAAAAGTCAAGTAACATTTAAAATACATTTAATACCTAATTTAATTAAAAGCTCCTTTTCAGAAAATAAAGTGCACTGAAGAAGGTCTATACACAACCTTACTAAATAATCAAGGAAATGCAAATTGAAAATCATACCTACCAGATAAGAAAAAGAAAAAAGTTTTATAACTCCATGACATTTTTTATTTTCTAGATAGCAAAAATTTTAAAGTCAGCTAAGTGTCAGTGAGGATGTGGAACTCATACTCTGCTAACAGGAGTGTAAACTGGCATATCTTTGGAGAACAATACAGCAGAATAGAGGTGAAGATGTGCAAACTCTATAACCCAACAATACTACTCTTACGTAGGTAAAAACGTTAAAAAGTGCTTCTCAAACTTTAATATGGATACGAATCACCTATCTTGTTAAAATGTAGATTCTGATTCAGTAGGTCTGGGTGGAGCATAAGATTCTCCATTTCTTTATTGTATTTTTTTTTTTTTAAAATGTGCTCTCTCAGCAGAATCAAAGATGCTCCATTTCTAACAAGTCCCTAAATGGTGGCGATGCTACTGGTCTGTGGACCATACTTTTCAAACAGCAAGGCCTTAGAATGACTAAAGAATCATTTATAAAAATATTCATTTAAATGTTGCATGTAATTGTGAAAAGTTGGAAACAACGTGATTGTCCACCAATAGGAGGTCTGATAGTGTCTATCCATACATTTGGCTACTATTCGGAAGTTTAAATAAAAACTAGAGTTACCCATATCACCAAGGATAAGTCTCATAAAGATAATGTTGACCAACAAAATGTAAGCTGTAAGAAGCAAAACAATTTCTTTTATTATTTACAAATAAACACATATATAGTAAAAGTAACAGAACATTCAACGGAACAATCAACACCAAATTCAGAACAGTAGTAATCTCTGGGGGAAAAAAATGAGGGGAATGAAATCATAGAGGAATAAAGGGCTTCCATCATATCTCTAATATTTTTATTTCCTTTTTAAAAAAAATTTCATGAAGAGAGGGAAGGGTGAAGAGAAACTGACTTTAAAGGGCTATGTTTTTATTTCTTTTTTCTTTTTTTTGAGACAGAGTCTCACTCTGTTGCCCAGGCTGGAGTGCAGTGGCGCAATCTTGGCTCACTGAAACCTCTGCCTCCTGGATTCAAGAGATTCTTGTATCTCAGCCTCCCTAGTAGCTAGGACTACAGGCACAAGCCACCATGCCTGGCTAATTTTTGTATTTTTAGAAGAGATGAGGTTTTGCCATGTTGGCCAGGCTGGGCTCAAGCTCCTGACCTCAAGTGATCCACATGCCTTGGCCTCCCAAAGTGCTGGGATTACAGGCGTGAGCCACCGTGCCTGGCCTAATGTTTTTATTTCTTAAACTGAGAAGTTGGCATAAGAATTTTTGGTATATTGTTCTTCTTTTTAAAATATTTCTCAAATACTTCCTAATTTTATTAAATGAAGATAATGACATGTAAGGATACATTGCAAATGTTTTACAAAAAGAAAGGAAATGGGATATGTGGGACAGGATTTTATGTGTTACTTTTTATAAATCTAACCCCTTTCTGAATTATTAAAAATATAACTGCTCTTTTAATTATTGAAAAAAATTTAAATAAGTCTTAGAAGTCCTATATAGAGGTGAGTTAAAACAAACCACACAAAGCGGGGCATGGTGGCTCACGCCTGTAATCCTAGCACTTTAGAAGGCTGAGGCAAGTGGATTACTTGAGGTCAGGAGTTCAAGACCAGCCTGGCCAACATGGTGAAACCCCACCTCTACTAAAAATACAAAAATTATCTGGGTGTGGTGGTGCACACCTGTAATCCCAGCTACTCAGGAGGCTGAGGTAGGAAAATTTGCAGAAAGCCAAGATTGCGCCACTGCACTCCAGCATGGACGACAGAGTAAGACTGTGTCTCAAAAATAAATAAATAAATAAAACAAACCACACACAAACATATTTTTGTGAGCACTTACAATAGCTATCTGAAATCCTATGGCTTAATGTTAGAAGATTAGTGGCAAATGTGGTCAACTTTAAACAGCCATCATCAGAATGGGAATAAATCCATGGAAGTGAGAGCATTCCACATAAATCTTCCAGGATATGATCTTCAAATGAACTGTTTACTACAGAAGCACAAAATAAGTCATTAATTATAACTTTTCCTTAATCATATCTCTTTTAAACAAAAATAAAGACATCTGAAATACCAAATACTGTTATAATGATCATTCGATAAGAAGAAAATTCTTAACACAGAGATCCATAAATGATGGTCTGAGGTCTGTGAACCCAAAGAAATTAAATGTGACTTTATAAAAACATGTATCTATGCCTTTTTTAAAGAAGAACCACAGCATTCCTCAAACTCCCAAATCAAAAAACTTTAAAGTTATAAATAATTTCTATTGACTAAAGAATCAAAATATTACGCACATAAACTGGCAACTCAGAAATTGACAAATTTAATAGAACTGAAATCAAGAACAAACTTCTGGGTATTCCATGCACTTATGCTTCAGGCAAAAAAGAAAGCGTATTTCTATACTGATTATCTTTAAAGGTTATTCTGATCTATTGCTTATTTGTACTCACCTTGCATATAAATCAAAGCATCATAAATTTTCACCACCTTATCAATGGTTGCCTCCAGGTCTGGTTTCTGAACAGTTTCTAACAAACTTCTACAGCTCTTAAGCACTTTTGTGTAAAAATCCAATGACATCCAAGTTATCACTACAGAAGGTTTCTTCTTGGATTTGTGTTGACAGTCCTTGAAAGTAGGGCTGCAGTAAGTACATTTTATTAAAGACATTGGAATTAAGACGAATTTTGTTATAGTCAAACGTAAAATTGTAGTAAAGCCACAAGAAATTGTGAGTACAAAATTTATAACAATTTAAATATGCAAATCAAGTAATCATTATTTTAAATTTAATCTATTTATGTCAGCTTAAATCACCCTTAGGATTTGGGAACTAAAATTACTTTGGGAGGCTGACGTGGGAGGATCACTTGAGCCCAGGAGTTTGAGAACAGCCAGGACAATACAGGGAAACCCATCTCTACAAAAAAATTTTTTTTTAATTAGGGTATGGCGGCATATGCCTATAGTCCCAGCTACTTTGGAGACTCACTTGAGCCCCGTACGGAGATCAAGGCTGTAGTGAGCCATGATCATGCCACCGTACACCAGCCTGGGAGACAAAGCGAGACCCTGTCTCCAAAAGCCAAACACTGGGTTTTTGAGTTGTACACAAATGTGTTCTGGTACTTTCTAACCATGCGTCCCCAAGAAAGTCAGTTTTGGCTTCAGATAAAAAAGAGCCTCAGTTTCTCTGAGTGTCAATTTCTAATTTTTAAAGTGGGCATAACAGCATTTACCTTAGAGGACTACTGTAAATATTAACTAAGATATATACAGTGCTTAGCACTGTGCCTAGCATTTGACTCAATAGAAAATAAATTTCTTAACTACTTCAGTGAAAAGTTTGTGTTCTAAGGTCACATGATTCAAGTGAATAATGAGTAAACAGTAAATCCAAGTTCATTACAGGAAACCCAACCCCAAGAAACAAGAAGTTTGTTTTACCAGTTCATGTTTTGATGAGAACAATGAACAGTACACAGAGCAGTCAGTTGTAAGACAACAGCGATTCCTTCTAACATCTCAATAACAGGATTCTTTAGGCCACTGTATTCAAGGGAAATCTGAAGGGATTCAGCTTTCTGTTTCAGTGCACTCCATAATACGCTCTTTTGGTTCATGTTCACATGTTTAATTCTGTAATTATGAATACAGTAGAGAGATATTCTTATGCAATATAAATTTGGTTAAAACATGAAACATATTTAGAATAAAACATACTATGTAATATCAACTATTGAAATTCATATTAAGATTTAAAACAATTAAAACAATGTTCAGAACTAACTGAAATATAGCAATTATTTAGCTACTTTATAAAAATTGTTAACATTTTAAAAATTGCTAATAGATGCACAGTCTCAAAGATTTTTCACCTATTAAAAAGTTAAATTAGATAAGCATGTAAAAACATGCAAACTAACTATATTTAACCATGAAATGTTTTATACTACTGACAGTCTACAAGAATTATTAAAATATTTTAAGCACTCCCTTGGCTACATTTAGAAAGATGTTCTTTGTGTATTTAAATCAAAGCACTTAACTAATAAGTTGAATTTCAAAAGTGAACAAAGTTTTATTTAATGGCTAAATACAAACTGAATGAAGGTCATCATACTCCTCAGTCTGTTTTGGTGCTCTTTTAGAAGGGTTTAGAGATGAGCTGAGACGACGCCTTTTGGGTGATATTCCATCACTATTACTGCTGAGGTTTTCCTGTTGAGTTTGGCATTGAATCTCCTCAATGATTTCCATACTTTCCATTTTCAAAGCTGCATAAAGTGGGCCCAACAAGTACTGAGAAAATAAAAAATAATTTCCAGAAATATTCCTTAGAAAATATATTTATATTATTCATAGGTAGCAAGAATGTATTAGATGTTAGTCAGATGTTTTCTAGTGAAACTACTTTTAGAGTCTCATAAAGCAAAACAAACATCTAAATTGATCTATATTATTTAAGTCTATATATAGACTATGGTTCTATAGTCTCAGAAGGTTTAAGACAAATCCTTCTCTCTACATCCTGTTTTTCCTCTTACCAAAATGCTATAAATTTTAATTCCCTTATAAAAAATGTTGTAAGGGAATTACCAACTTTTTTCATGCAACAAATCCAGCAAGATTAATAAATTAAAATATTTAATCAAGTTACTGCATCTCTGATGATTTTATTGTATTTCCTGACTCCCACAGTCCAAACAGAAAAAAGCACATAATTTGGCATGATTAATCATTCATAGGTTTTCTAAAAGTGATTGATTATAACTTGTCAGACACAAAATCTATTTGAGTGATCAAAGCTTCTGCAATTAAGTTGATAACTGCCCCCTTTTAATTAATAATGCAACAAATACATTTACACATCACAGATTCTACTTAGAAACATTCTACTCCATTGGCAGTTCATTACCAACTTAAACAACAAATCCTTCTGAAATCAAAGTAAAAGTCCATAATAGTGAGCCAGACTACACTATGAAAATCATTATGTTCCAAATATAAATTACTATTAAAGATATTCCATTTCCTTATTATTACATTTTGCACATATGTATACAATTAAATGATGAACAAAATACATACTTAACAAGTAACCTGAAAAATTACTTACCTCTGCATCTACCTGAATTCCAAGCACATCCAAAAGAGCTTTACAAATATTTGTCACATAGACCTTCCTGACTTGTAAAGCAGATTCATACCCAGCTGGCACAAATTTAAGAAAATACTGCAGTAAATGGCACAAAGCTGCTTTTAGCAAATCAGACTTAAGCCGCATGAGCACACCATCTTCAAACATGACACAGAGTTTTTCCAGCAGCATATTTAAATAAACAGGTTCAATATTTCTATAAGCTTCTGCTTCAAAGGGAAATAGTGTCTTTATCAGCTTTGATAATGGCTCTTCATAGAGTTTCAATTGGTCAGTATCCATTTCTACAAGGTGTTTTAATAATTCCAAAAATGAGCTGAAAAAAGTGCTAGCTGGTTGTGCTGGTAGTCCTCCAAGCTGAAAAAGTTCAGTTAAAAAGCTAATTGCTAGTGATTTAATTTTTGGACTACCATACTCTAGCAGTACACAACCTATCTGCCAAAGTAAGAGTTCTTGCCTTCTAAAAAACACAATTGCAATAATACGAGTAAGAACCGTTAATAAAGTGACTTCAATAAATTCTAAATTTTGCATACTTATCAACCGCAAAGGAGCTGATTGTAAATATCCCATGTGTTCATCTAATTGACTTAAAAATCGGCTAATGACCACTGGCCATTCCACAGCATGACCCATCACATTTCTTCTATGGAGGTAAACCAAGTCTTCAAAAAGTTGTAATAATTCTTTCGTGAGTACCCCAAAAATAGCAGGACTCTTGCTTTTAAAAAGAAATAATAATGAACAGATGACTTCACAGATTTTCTTGTGTAACAAATGACAGGAGGGAGTTGCTGCAATCCGCAGAAGTCTTGTTATGATCCAATTACTGAATTCTTTGAAATAAACAAAAAAGATATTAAATAAACAAGTATATCTGAAGTGCTAATTCATTTGCTAAATCCTTGACGATTGACTTTTAAAGAATAAACTTCACTAACAAAAGAGTGTAAAACATTCCTTTCACAGTGGAAACATAATAGTTTAGAACACAGGCATACCCAGTTTTATTGCATGTTGCAGATGCTGCATTTGTCACAAATTGAAGGTTGTGGTAACTCTGCATCAAGCAAGTATATCAGTGCCATTTTTCCAACAGCATGTGGTCACTTCATGTCTCTGTATCCCATTTTGGTAATTCTCACAATATTTCAAACATTTTCATTATTATCATATCTGTTATGGTGATCTGTGATCAGTGATGTTTGATGTTGCTATTGTAATTGTTTGGAGCTGTCATGAACCACATCAATATAAGGTGGCAAACTTAATAGATAAATGTATGTGTTCTGACTGCCCCACCGACCAGCAGTTCCCCATCTCTCTCCCTCTCCTTGTGTCTCCCTATTCCCTGAGACACAGTATTGAAATTAGGTCAATTAATAACCCTTATAATGGCCTCTAAGTGTTCAAATGAAAGAGTCGCACATCTCTCACTTCAAATCAAAAGCTAGAAATGATTAAGCCTACTGAGGAAGGCATGTTGAAAGCCAAGACAGGTTGAAAGCTAGGCCTCTTTCACCAAACAACCAACCTGTTCAAGAAAAAGTTTTTGGACAAAATTAAAAGTGCTACTCCACTGAACACACCATTGATGAGAAAGTGAAGCAGCCTTATTGCTGGTATGGAGAAAGTTTTCATAGTCTGAATAGAAGATCAAATCATTAAAAGATGAGGAAATTTCCAGTAGGAAAAAAAGAAGATCAAACCAGCCACAACATTCCCTTAAGCCAAAGCCTAATCCAGAGAAAGGCCCTCAACACCAAGGCAAGACCCTCCACCAGCACAAATATTACAACTTGCTGAAGGATCATATAATCGTTAGCATTTTTTAGCAATAAAGTATTTTTAATTGTTTTTTAGACATAATGCTATTCCACACTTAATATACAATGTAAACATAACATATATGCACTGGGAAACCAAAAAATTCACATGACTTACTTCATTGCAATATTCACTTTATTGTGGTGGTCTGGAACTGAACCCACAATATTTCTGAGGTATGCCTGTACCAACTTTGGAGTCAAAAAGACAAGGCCCTAGCTTTCCACTTACTAATTGTATAAACTTTTCATTTCTCTGAACCTTTGTAATTTCATGTATGAAAGGAGAATAATGCTATCTATGTTATGGGTTACTGTGAGGACCAAATAAGACAATGTACATGAAATAGCACAGTTCCAAAGTAAAATAAATGTTCAATAAAGGGTAGCTATTGTCATTCCTTCAACTAAAATTTGAGTGGTGACTCTGTCTCAGGTACACAAGAATAAATCAGTCATAGTCCTGTCCTCATGAATCGCACAGTACAGTTTGAGCTTTTTGACTGCAACAAAGAAATAACATTTTATATCACGACCCAGTACATATACATGCATTTTATTTAAATATTTAAAATAAAAGGTTCATGAAATAGTACTTATTCTTATTACATACAATGTACTCTAATATTTTCTTCTTTTTTTCTTGAGACAGGTTCTCACTCTGTCACCCAGGCTGGAGTGCAGCAGCACGGTCTTAGCTCACTGCAATCTCTGCCTTCCAGGCTAAAGTAATTTGTGTGCCTCAGCCTTCCGAGTAGCTGGTACCACAGGCATGTGCCACCACGTTCAGCTAATGTTTTTGTTTTGTTTTGGCTTGGTTTGGTTTTGGTAGAGACAGGGTTTCGCCATGTAGACTAGGCTGGTCTCGAACCCCCAAAGTGTTGGGATTACAGGCGTGAGCCACCACCCCCAGCCGATATTTGCTAGTTTATTTCATCTTGTTTTAAATGCTGGTAATTGCCTAATGTCATAACCCACTAGTGGGTTATGACTTGTAGTTTAAAAACTACTGTAGGAAAGAATATAGACAAACCAATGATTAGAATACAGTTTAATAGCCTCTACGATACATGAAATGCAGAACACTTAGTACTAAGAGAGAATAAAGGAGTAACCAAGCCAGTTCTAAGCAGTTAGAAGTAGTGCTCAGAAAAAAACTTGGAGGACATGCTATCAAAGTTGAGTTAAAGTTCGAGTAAAAAATTTTTAAATACTTTATCCACTATACAAAAAAAAAAAAAATGTTTATTTTGCATCTCTTTATGAAGACACCAATGAAGGGACAAAAGTAGTAGGTGCAATAAGGAAAAAGCCTAGAGAAAAGTTTCAATATACAGAAGAGCAGTCAGCAAACTTTTTTTAAAGGACCAGATAGTATTATTTTTGGCTTGAGTGCCCAAGTTGCCTCTGTAGTAGTCACAGACAATAAGTAAAAGAATGAGCATGGCTGTGTTCTAATAAAACTTTGCTTACAAAAAATGAAGCCAGGCACAGTAGCATGTGCCTATAATCCCAGGTATGCAGGAAGCTGAGGCAGGAGGATCCCTTGAGTCTAGCAGTTCAAGACCAGCCTGGGCAATATAGTGAGACCCTGTCGTATTTAAAAAAAAAAAAAAAAAGGAAACAAAACGAAACACAAAACTTAGGTCACAAAAACAGGCAGCCACACTGTGGACTAAAGCTTGCCAATCTCTGATCTACAAGAAAGAGATTACCAAAAACAGAAAAAAGAAAACTATGCCAAAGTGTTCAATGGCAAATAAACAAATTTGATTATTTCTAAGTACCTAGTATACAATACTAAAAAGAAAACAATAAGGATATGTGAAGGAAAAATAACCATTACCATTTTGCTCCTTCAATTTACAGCGAAGCTGACCCAAAAAAGTGTAATTATGTACTTGTAATATTTCACAAGAGCAGTAAAAGGAGGATTTCATAAAACAGATGACAAGTGAATGCACGAATAACAGCACTTACCAATACAACTGCCTTTGGCCTCATGGCTTCCATTCACATTTACAAACATAAGTGGGGAGGATTTCATGATATGCTGGATGAAATCAAGCAACATTACGGAGGTTGGCTGAGAGTCAGTTTTCTTTACAAGTTCTACAGCAACTAAAACAATAAGATTCATTTTAAAGAGTCATGACAAATTAAACAATGGTCCTTTTGTTAAGAAACCAAACTGTGGGCCGGGCAAGGTGCCTCACGCCTGCAATCCCTGTACTTTGGGAAGCTAAAGTGGGAGGATCACCTGAGCCCAGGAACTCAAGACCAGCCTGGATAAGATGTCAAGATCCCATCTCTACAAAAAAAATTTTTCTTAAAATTAGCTGGGAGTGGTAGTGTGTACCTACAGTCCCAGCTACTGGGGGGCTAAGGCAGGAGGATTCCCTTGAGCCCAGAAGTTCAAGGCGGTAGTGAGCTATGATCACACTATTGCACTCCAGCCTGGAACAAAGCAAGACTCTGTCTCTTAAAATTAAAAAAAAAAGGGGGGGGGGGACCAGACTTTGGTGACCAGAATTATATCCAGTGCAGCTAATTTTGGTATTTTTAGTAGAGACAAGGTTTCGTCATGTTGGCCAGGCTGGTCTCAAACTCCTGACCTCAGGTGATCCACCCGTCTCAGTCTCCCATAGCGCTGGGATTACAGGCGTGAGCCACCGTGCACAGCCAACGCTAGTCTTACCTAATTTTAAATGTTTAAAAATCACATGCATTCCTCCATCATACATCCATTTATCAAACATGCACTTCAGGAATAACATGTCAGGCAGTGCTAAAATCTAAGGATTAAAAACAAAAGTTCCCACAATCTGATGGGGAGTCAAACAAATAAACTAATAATTACAATACAATATGGTAACTGCACTAATCCAGAATAAGGAGAAACAGGTATCTGGGAAGACACTGTGAAGGAAATGATTCCTAGATGAGGAGTTGGTCAGAGAGGGGAAGGGCAAGTAGTCTAAACAGAGGGAATACGAATACGATACAAAAACACATCTTGCAAGTATTAAGCAGTCCTTTATTATTTTTCAGCAACCCATCATTTTTACTGGTTGAAAAAGAAAGGCTTAATGGCTAGTCTAAGTCATAAAATCTATGCCAAATTTGGAATTCAAATTATAAACCCTGAGCCTAATGCCATTTTATATTATCCCTTCCATGCAATTTCAACAGATATGACAAATGTGACACCATTTTGCCAGGTAGGTAATATTCTGTCTATCAGATTGGCACGAACAGGCAATAATTGATTCAGTAACTCACATAATCCTATAATCTCCTACAGGCACAGGCATGAACTTACTTACAGAGTAACTTAATTACAGAGGTTTTTTTGGGTGGCATTTGCTATTAGTCTACCACTGGCATAAGAGCTAACCAAAATAGGGTCCATGTGATTGGTACTAGCCAAATATTTTTACGTATAATATCCAATATCAAAGAACTCATAGCAAGCAGTAGAAAATCAGATAACAAATAGGAAGAGAGAATTATTTTAAAAGCCTAATCGTAACAAGTAGTAAGCAATATTAACAAATAACTTGCTTGAAAATAGTAACTATCATAAATACTCTATATCTAAAACTACATGGAGAAAATGCTACTATAATGTATACATGGAAAAGAAAACAGTCCAATTTATAAAGTTTATATAAGAAATAATTGGTTTCTTACCAACATTTACATCTGTAAGTATCCGGTCAATGAACTGACATAGAATTTGTCTTGGTTTCTGTACAACTGCATTATATTCCTCTGGTGTGGCACTAAAATACAAATTAAAAGCTTTTAATTCTTAAAGTGACTCAGTTTCATTTGCAAAAAAAATTCTCTAAAGTACAACTTATCAAATGCGTTTAGCATCAATGTTGATATCCACAGTATTCTGTTTAAAAATTGAAAATAAAATCTGAATGTTACCAACTTACAAGAAAAAAAAATATGCTAAGTAATAGTAAAGAGATCCAATCAGCAAAGCCTAGACCTGAATATGGTGGCCACTAGCTACAAGTAACTACTAAGCACTTGAAATGTGCTTAGTACAAATTGAAATGTGCTATTAATGGCAGTGGCAGCCCACTTGGAGCGGCCACTGCCATGATGCCCGCTGCAATAAGGAAGGTGGGGCTGGGGCTGCTCGCTCCCTGGAGCCAGTGGGCAGAAGCCCCGCCCCGTTCTGAGTTGCGAGAGGTGGAAACTCCAACCCCCTTCCGAGTTGCAGGGTCGGGAGCCCAGCCATCCGGGGCGCAGCTGCAGCCATCCAACCATGGTTGCAAACCCAGGCATCCCTGCTCTCTCCAGGGCCGGGGAGGCCCCCTGCCCTCACAGACTTGGAAGTGCCTGCTCCCGCCGCCTGGCCTCTCCCCGCTCCCGGCGCCCACACCAATTTTGGAGCAAAGTTGTGGCGGAGCCCAGGTGTTGTCACGACCAGGCCGGGTGTGCAAGTGCTCAGGACGCCACTGACACAACAGCCCCCTGCTGCCTCAGCACCCTCTGGACTTCGGGCGCCTATGGGCAGGCCAAGCGGTGGGCTGAGGGCAGCTCAGTATGGGCCTGTAGGCGCCCCTCGGCACGAACAGCCTGGGTGTAGTGGGCGGCAGGTTGATGGCAGCAGGAAGTAGACAGGCTCCTGGGTGGAAAAGGGTGGGCCCCCAGTGAAGACCTACCTTTAAGCCAGGAATGGCTTGAAGCCTGGGGGCCTGGCTGCCAGTCACATGGACCACAGTGAGAGCTTATGGCGCTTTTTCCAGGCCCACCCATGACTGCCCATGGACCAATCAGCATTCACTTCCTCCCTTCTGAAACACATAAAAACTAAATTTTTGGTGGAACTCTAATACCCTTTTCCACAGTGGCTGTACCATTGTACACTCCCACCTGCTGTGCACAAGGGTTCCAATTTCTCCACATCCTCACCAACACACGTTATTTTCTGGGTGTTTTTTAATTTTTTTTTCCCCTTTTGACGACAGGGTCTAACTCTGTTGCCCAGTTGACAGTGCAGTAGTGTAACCATAACTCACTGCAGCCTCAACCTCCCGACCTCAAGAGATCCTCCCATCTCAGCCTCCTGAGTAGCTGGGACCACAGGTGCATGTCACCACACCCAGCTAACTTTTTGTATTTTTTGTACAGACAGGGTTTCACCACTTGGCCCAGGCTGTTCTCAATCTCCTTGGCTCAAGCGATCTGCCTGCCTTGACCTCCCAAAGTGCTGGGAGCCACTATGCCTCCCAAAGTGCATGAGTCACCATGCCCAACTGTGTTTTCTTGTGGGTTGTTTGTTTGTTTGTTTTGAGATGGAGTCTTGCTCTGTCACCAAGCTGGAGTGCAGTGGTGTGATCTCAGCTCACTGCAACCTCCATCTCCCGGGTTCAAGCAATTCTCCTGCCTCAGCCACTCAAGTAGTTGGTACTACAGGCACGCACCACCATGCCTGGCTAATTTTTTGTATTTTAGTAGATATGGGGTTTTACCATGTTGGCCAGGATGATCTCATCTCAATCTCCTGACCTCGTGATCTGTCCGCTCAGCCTCCCAAAGTGCCAGGATTACAGGTGTGAGCCAACGCGCCCGGCCCCAACTGTTTTTTTATTAATAGCTATCATAATTGGTGTGAAACAGTATCTTGTGGTTTTGATTTGCATCTCCCTAATGATTAGTAATTGTGAGCATCTTCTCATGTGCTTATTTGTCCATTTGTATATCATCTTTGGAGAAACGTCTATTCAAGTTCTTTTTCTATTTTTCATCAGGTTATATTTGTTGTTGAGCTGTAGGAGTTCTTAATATATTCTAGATATTAAACTCCTTATCAGACATATGATTTGCAAATATTTTCTCCAATTCCATGGGTTGCCTTTTCACTCTATTGATACTGCCCTTTGATGCACAGTTTTTAATTTTGATGAATTTCAATTTATCTCCTTTTTTATTTTGCTGCCTGTGCTTTGTGTCATCAAAGAAATCATTGCCAAAATCCAATGTCATAATGCTTTCCCTCTATGTTTCCTTCTTTTTTTTTTTTTGAGACAGAGTTTTGCTCTTGTTGCCCAGGCTGGAGTGCAATGGCACGATCTCGGCTCATGGCAACCTCCGCCTCCTGGGTTCAAGCAATGCTCTTGCCTCATCCTCCTGAGTAGCTGGGATTACAAGCATGTGCCACCACGTCTGGCTAATTTTGTATATTTTTAGTAGAGATGGGGATTCTCCATGTTGGTCAGGCTGGTCTGGAACTCCTGACCTCAGGTGATCCACCCGTCTCGGCCTCCCGAAGTGCTGGGATTACAGGTGTGAGCCACCACACCCGGCCCCCTCTATGTTCCCTTCTAAGTGTTTCACAGTTTTATTTCTTATGTTTAGGTATTTGATCCATTTTGAGTTCACTTTTGTATGTCTTTTGGACTTTTAAAGTTTTCCTGTAGAGGTAAAGACAGGAGCCAGATTGCAAGGGGCTGAAAAGCTAATGAAATGTGACTACTGAGAAGAGCCAGTTCTTTCCAAAGCTTGATCATGAAATGAAGAGAAGCAGAGTTGGTGATAACTAAAGAACTGTATGAGATCAAGCAGGCTTTGTTTTGTTTCTCCCTTAGAGCAACCGATTCTTGAGATTTGACTCCTCTTCTTGGAACCAGATACAAGTAAAAAGATAATTCTTGGACAGGAGGGTAACTCTTTCATAAACATAGAAAGAAAGGATGGGTATAGATGCAAATAATTTAATAAATTCAAAAGGCAAGTAAAACAAGATCCTCTGCTTCAAAGAACTCAGAATAATTGCTGGGGAGAGGAGAGGAATGCACTTAAATAATCAAAAGCAGCCGGGCATGGTGGCTCACGCCTGTAATCCCAGCACTTTGGGAGGCTGAGGCAAGCGGATCATGAGGTCAGCAGATCTAAACCATCCCAGCTAACACGGTGAAACCCTATCTTTCCTAAAAACACAAAAATTAGCTGGGTGCAGTAGCGCGCGCCTGTAGTCCCAGCTGCTCGGGGGCTGAGGCAGGAGAATCGCTTGAATCTGGGAGGTGAAGGTTGCAGTGAGCCGAGATCGCCCCACTGCACTCCAGCCTGGGCGACAGAGCAAGACTCAGTCTCAATAAATAAATAAATAAATAAATAATCAAAAGCAAGTACCATGTACACCCAAAGCAGGGAATGATTAACTCTACCTAGAGGATTCACAGAAGGTTGTGTGTCAGTGATTAGCCAAGTCCATCACTTCTGACAAAACAGCTTAGGGTATAGTAAGACAGATGGTTACTTATAAATAATAGTATATACAGACATATGATTTGCAAATATTTTCTCCAATTCCATGGGTTGCCTTTTCACTCTATTGATACTGCCCTTTGATGCACAGTTTTTAATTTTGATGAATTTCAATTTATCTCCTTTTTTATTTTGCTGCCTGTGCTTTGTGTCATCAAAGAAATCATTGCCAAAATCCAATGTCATAATGCTTTCCCTCTATGTTTCCTTCTTTTTTTTTTTTTGAGACAGAGTTTTGCTCTTGTTGCCCAGGCTGGAGTGCAATGGCACGATCTCGGCTCACGGCAACCTCCGCCTCACAGGTTCAAGTGATTCTCCTGCCTCAGCCTCCTCCCGAGTAGCTGGGACTACAAGCACGTGCCACCACGCCCAGCTAATTTTTTGTATTTTTAGTAGAGATGGGGTTTCACTGCGTTAGCAAGGATGGTTTCAATCTACTGACCTCATGATCCATCCGCCTCGGCCTCCCAAAGTGCTGGGATTACAGGCGTGAGCCACCCTGATTTTTTTTTATTATTCAAACCACAAAGTCCAATCCTAATTGATTACATATAGGACCAATGGCATTTACAGCTAATAAATGCCATAAAAGAACTGATCCTGGTCGGGCATGGTAGCTCATGCCTATAATCCCAGTGCTTTGGGAGTCCAAGTTGCGCAGACTGCTTGAGCTCAGGAGTTTGAGACCAGCCTGAGAAACATGGTGAAACCCTGTCTCTACAAAAGAAATAGAAAAATGAGCAGGTATAGAGGCACACACCTGTAGTCCCAGCTACTCAGGAGGCTGAGGTGGGAGGATCACTTGAGCCTGGGAGGTGGAGGCTACAGTAAACCGAGATTGTGTCACTGCACTCCAGCCTGGGTGACAGAGCCAGACCCCTGTCTCAAAAAAATAGAAAAAAAAAAAGAACTCATCCCTGGTCCTGGTACATAGTAGACATTAAAAAAAAAAAAAAAAAAACTGTTCAATAAATGAATGGTTCATAAGAACCTTCTTGAATTTTGTGGTTTCTTCATTCCTAATGTATAGCCCTCTGGACCTGTGGAGTATTTACCTATTCCCTGCCACTAGACTATAAGCTCCTACGGGTGGCAGACTGTGCTTTATTTTTCTCTGTATCTCCTGAAGTGCCATTAGACCGTAAGCTCTTATAGGAGAGAGAATGCATTTTATTTCTTTTTGCCTCCGCTACATCACCTAGAACTTGCTTAACAGAAAAACTTACTGAAATTAACAAATGTTTTTAAGTAATACAAACTGTAGACACAAAGAATCAAAGGGCCAGGTGTGGCGGCTCATGCCTGTAATCACAGCACTTTGGGAGGCCAAGACGGACAGATCATGAGGTCAGGAGTTCCAGATCAGGCTGCCCAACGTGGTGAAACCCTTTCTCTACTAAAAGATACAAAAATTAGCTGGGCGTGGTGGCAGGCACCTGTAATCCTAGTTACATGGGAGGCTGTGGCACTGAGGTAGGAGAATCGCTGGGACCTG